ACTTTGTCAGTTGTTCATATTTCGCGCGCTCATCTCTACGAAACTTTTACCTGAGAGGATGTGACGTGTACGCATGCTTTTATGCATGACAGAGACAGCTACCGTGTCAACATTGCCATTGTTTGAACCATGATATAATATTCACCGTTCACGCAAACCACAGCTTGCGGTGAGTACCCAAAACCCATGAATTATGATTTTTATGTTTTATGCATTCTGTAATTGTTGTAAATATGGTTTATTCAGTGCTGTGTAGATAAACAGCAATATATTTACCTGTGCCAGTATGTTTGTTATGAGCACGGTTTGTGTACACACGCACAGGTGCGCGATAGTGTTACTATACCATGTGTTTAATTAGGGTGTGTATGGTGTGATTTTTACCGGTTAAATGTATAGAATACATGCATAAATATCGTTTAATTACCAATTACTCGTGATTTGATACATGCACGTGAAATACAGTTGTTTACTTATGTATCGTAATAACCATTGTGCGACGGTCTATTAAGGCGTCGTGCACCGTACCTTTACCTGTAAATATGTTCATAATTGAAATGACAATTATCTATTTCTTGTATCATTGATCATTAAGTGGAGTCAAATGTGGTAAATATATGTTATAGCATTGAGTATTAATGCGATTATTATCAGAATTAATAAGGTTGTGTTGTGAGTACCAAGTAATTCTTGGCTCACAACCAAGCAGGTCATTCAAATCCACATGCTTATGTTATAGATTCACTATATAGTGTGGATAGTTAGTCAGTTTTTACCACAGTTCCCTGCACACCGTATTCATGGATAAGATCATGATTTCACGACCATGAAAGGGGTTGTTCAAATGGGTTATGGTGACAAAACACATTTATCTAAAAGAGAATGAATAAAGGTCATGATGAAGTAGATAATACATTGGAATGTAACAATTTTGATACATATTTTATAATGTCAATTTGGTCTTTTTTGTCTTTTTAAACGTATTTTTTACACTGTTGGTTTCTCACTTTTAATAAAAAAAACTGCATCAAGTTTATCAAACTAAGTTTCAGATGACGTTTATCGGTTTTCATTCACTTTAATATCGTTACAATAAATGATATAACAAACTTATATATACTCATTTAATTTGATTTATTTTTTCTGGTTTTGGTTAATATGCAACCCATGTCATTTGAAATGAGTAACGTCTCCGAGTAGATTAGCGGAAGGAACATATTGTTATATAATAATACGAAATTACATTGCATGTCAGCGTAATTTACAGAAGGACTATGTTCTAAGGTACATTGTATGTCACATGTCATTGTTAGTGTTATGTATTTTCCATTAACATTGTTACGCATTATCTTAGTTTTTATTTCCTGCTTTCGCTTCCTAAGCTTAAAAAGTTAGGTCCTTTACATCAATAACGAATTCTTGAAGGATGAAACAGCTGTATGATTAAATCTTATTCTTTGTTTTTGGCTCTACTGCACTTAATTCTTCGAAAGGTGTTCATAATAATTCAAATTCAATCTCTTCTGTATTTTTATTAAAAACATGCAAAACGGCTTGTAGTTACATAAGTATAGTGTTGTAATAGTGAGTAGATGTATGTTTGTTGTCCTTAGATATTCTAAGCTCTCTTCTCGGCTATACATGTATAAGGACATGGTTTGAGTGTAGCCCCCAAAACGCCTTTCACTGGAGGAATGCTATCTGGATCCACAGGTTTAAACTGGATTCGTTGTACCATGGAAGTGATGAAAAGAAACAGTTCTGACCTTGCGAGGGCCTCGCCCATACATACACGGCGACCTATAGTATAAGGGAAAAAATACTGATCATTGTAAATTTCATTCGAGTTTGTGCACCTTATCTATGACAGCTGTAACATGAAGGGTATATGTGTATCACATTTAATATAATCTATAGTGAGTATCCAATAGTGAATTCAGTAATAACAAATACATTTCACAAGTGTGTCTAATACCTAGGTATATTTCAATGGGGTTCAGTAATCAATAGTGAAAAATAACACTATTATCAATGAGATATTTCTCTATATAGCAGTGGCAAAAATGTAAGAAATAGTTTATATAATCTATGATATGAAATGACATGTGTTCGATGCCCAATCATACCCATTTGCTAAGTTTGTTGTTATAAACATCACTTTAGAACGATATTCTACTTATTTGGATTGACCAATATTTACGTAGTGGGTTTCATGGATGAAGTAGAAGACGCTTACCCTTCCTGAACACATTGTCTTATTTTTCTTGTACGTTTCGATAGTTCCAGTGTAAATACTTCTTTCGCTCGTATTTTGAGCTCATTTTATTGAATTTTATTAAATTTGATAACGATTTATTCACATGTATTAACATTTCGGTCTTTTCTAGTCGTTTTTCAAAAATACATCGACAGGCATACATCATAATCTAAATAATAACTTACACCCAGTTGTCGTTAAATAGTTTGTTTCTAGTCCGTGAGAGAACAGTGATAATCGGGAAAAAAATATGTATTTAAGATATTCATACGAACGAGAACATGTGTTTCATTGTGGATAAGTGTTTAACTGCCGAACACAGTAAACATACTGTAGATGCTTTGTGGACATTCTCTTTTCTGCAGTAATGTTGGTAATGCCAATTCCAAGTATGTATGTAAAATAAAATCAAAACATATTTATACATTGCATTAATTAACGACAACTTACCGAAAAAGAATGGTATAACGTGTTCTGTTCGCTGGAGTTTGCCGTCCTTGTCAAGGAATCTTGATGGTTTGAATTTTTCCGGCGCGGGGAATAGCTCTGGGTCTTTGTGAACAGATGTGATACTTGGAATCAGCATAGCTCCTTTAGGAATAATATAACCATTAAAATGTACGTCCACACTTGTAGCATGTGCCAATCCAAGAGGAGCAATGTCCCCACATCTGAGGATCTCTGTGATGGTGGCCTCAATATACGGCATGTCCGGGCGGTCTGACAGGGAGGGGAATCGACCCTCTCCTACCACCCTCGTTACCTCCTCATGACAACGCTTCTGTACATCCGGGTTGTTGAGGAAGAACAAGACAGCCCAGTGAAGAGTTGTTGTGGTCGTCTCCATTCCAGCGATGAACATGTCAGCTATAGTGTTCATTAGCTGTGAGACTGTAATGAGAGGACATGTTAAATCGACTTTTGTATGTCGTCAGATGTATATTTTGAAATTCTAAAATAATTTTACTCATGTTATTGTTTTGAGAAGACGAAAAAAGTTTTCATCCGGTTTTGTGATATATCTGTATCTTGTAAACTTTTCAATGACAGGTTTTAAATGTGTATCTGGCCCCACTTGTATAAAACATCTCAACCTGAGATTTCCTCAAGTCGAGATTTTCCTCAGCTGATATCTCCTCAAAAACGGCTTGTATCAAATTTTCTCAAGGAACAAGAGGAAGGCATCGGCTAAGATGTCCTGAAATTCCTTGAGGAATTTTCATACAAGATATTTTCAAGGAGATATTAGCTGAAGAAAATCTGGGCTTGAGGAAATCTCAAGTTGAGATGTTTTATACAAGTGGGGCCTGGTATTACATTCGTATCCTAGTGTTATCACTACACGACTCTTCAACTCTTGGATGACAGAGCATTGCTGATGGTGAAAACATACCAGAGTGATTAATGATCCGTGTTTCTCGGGTACTTAATGTGGTATGTATATAATATGATCGTCTTCCACATCATATACAATTCATTAAAACATCAACTTACCTGTGATATGTAATTTGTTATAACATTAACTTACATGTGATATGTAATTTGTTAAAACATTAAACCTACCTGTGAAGGAAGTGTCCTGTCCTTTTCTATTCTCTATTTCTTTTAAGTAAACGTCGATGAAATCTTTAATATTTTCCGCGTCGAATTCCTCTTGATGGGCATCAATCAGTTTGTAAAGGTACTTGATAACTCTATCTGCATTGTTCAGGACTTTTCTGCTACCCACGGGGTCCCCTGGCACAAATCGAAGAAAGGGCAGGAGGTTGAGGAGGCCAGCCGACGCCACAAGAGACATGTTTTCGTTAACCGTGTCCACTAGTTCTATAAATACAGGGTCGCCATGTTCAAATCTCTTTCCGAATATAATGGAACATATAATGTTTGCAACACTGGTCTGGATACAGGACTCGGGATGTAGCGGTTGTCCTTTCTTCTCCTCAAGAACATTGAGAAATACTTCCACCTCTTCCATTATTTTTCCTTCCAAACTTTTCTTGCCGAAGCCGAAATCTCTTAGTCCTCCAATAGCGAATGTTCTGTGTATCTTCCATTCAGGCCCTGATCTGCTCACAAGTCCTATAGGTTTTTGAAACAAACAGAAGTTGAAAAGAGCATGTATGTTTGTGGGGAGCTTTTGCAGATAACAAGATGAGTTTGTTTTTCGTGAAGCGTTTCCGGTGTGGTCGATAAAATACTTTAAAGCACTTCCACGTTGGTTTAGAATTTTAAATACTATTTTATTCATATGTGTGTTCATATCGTGAAAGTTTCAGAAAGGCATTTAATCAATATATATATGAACAGAAATAGGAACCAGACCAATAAGACCAGCTCCGACGACACCAAAATTTGGGACCACAAAATTGGGACCAGAACAGGTCAGATCAGACTAGCCCTTGTAATATAATTTGCCACTTTAGCTCTCCCAGTATGTAACACTCACAGCGTGGTGTATAACCCGCCCTGTTGTAAGTCACTAAGAGCCATGACTGATTTACTTTGTTATATATACTTCATGACGATACATCTGTACCATCTTGCACAATTTTGTAAATATTGTTTACGGGAATATAAGTGTTGTTTGTAAGCCTTTAAAAACTTATTACAATGGTCAATATCATAATATCAATACCAAAACAACAGGGGTCAGTATTAAAATAGTTTTAAAAGTTGTGACTACACAAATCTCATATTACACTCGGTTATCTTCACAAGTTGTAGTTTTGGCAGATGTGACCGGCGAATGGTTGATCTAGAACATTTTCTTCTTGTATTTATTTGTTATGAGGGATAAAATTTTCATTGTCGACAATTTAACAATTATATCGTCAAAGAATTGAAGTTTAAGTGAAGTTCGTTTGACTTGACCACAGGAGTTCGTTTCAAATGCATACACCTCTATATATATGTGTGGCCCATTTCATATATCAAAACCTAGATAACTATTAAATCATTACTTATCATTTTTTGTTTAAGTAGCATACTAACCTTCTCCTTTTGTTATTTCTCTGAATGAAAATAGATCAGGCCGGTCGGATGTGACGTCACCGCGTTTGACGAAAAGTTCCCGAAGTGTGTCATAACCACTGACCACTACCATTGTGAACGACCCCATGTGCAATGTGACCAAGTCTCCATACTTTCCCCGTAGTTTCCGAAATGTTCCTAGCTGATCACTTGACGCCAGGTCAAGGATGTTACCAAGTAATGGGAGTGGTGTAGGTCCCGGGGGTAGGGATTTCAGTCTCTGGTGTCTGTCCCACAGATAATATACCACAACCAGAACCAGAAGTGTCCAGACTAGACCGCTAGAACTAGTGATGAGTTCCAATACAACACTGTACATTTTTGTGTCCGACGTGATTTGCAACACATAAGCGTGTTCTCCACCGCCCGTATACACAATGTCCTACGTTGCCCTATATAAACACAATCTACTCTGTACCGACATGAACTAGTTGTCACCGACGAAATGTGTTCATGTTATTTCGTGTCTGTCAAAGTGGGGTGATGAAATAATTTGGTTATTGCAAAATATTTCCTTAAACAGGAAATTATTCCTTTATGTAAACATGCGTTATCGCTGATACTTATTTGTACCCGCTGAAGTATAAGCTTTTAACTTGTTTTCGTTCCCCATTCAACATGTATGTATATATATGTGTATGTATGTATGTAGGCAGGTAGCTTATAGGTAGGTAGGTAGGTAGGTATGCATGTAGATAGGTGTGTATGAGTGTATGCGTGCGTGCTTGTAAGTAGGTAGGTAGGTAGGTGTGTGATGGTGTGTGAGTGTATGCGTGCGTGCTTGCGTACGGGTGTAATATTGTTTCTAATTTCCATCCCGATAATTGAGTCAAAACTTGAGTTATGTATTTTGGTGTATTATCAATAACAACAAAGACAGAAATACATCCAGTAATGCCATTTTACTAAATGACGAATAACTTGACAGACATGGCAACAACAATATCAACCTTATTGTACAAACATATTTACAACATAAACAATATCATGATTTTAATATAGCCAAAAAGACGGAGCATGCAATACACCACAGAACAATCATAGCAGTCGAGCGCCAGTGCGTACCTGTTATATAATTAATTATTACTATAAAATATCGCTCGAACTGATATCTATCAAACAAAATTTATCACATTTATATGTGTCCTGTCTGTTCAGGTCTGTCCGTGATCCTTACCAAGAAATCAAGTAGCAATCAGTAACAGAAATACAGCTCTTATCTGCGTTGTTTCAAAAATTAATTTGCTTAATTCATTTGTGTTAAAGACACAAAATCAATGTGTGAATTTAAACGATGAAGATTTTTGTCGATAGTAATTTTAGTATAAGGACTTGTCGACAGTACAAATTGACACAAGATAATACTTATCTTTGACTTTATTTTTATATTTGCAAGTTATGAAATATCTGTTATTTATCTTGATATTTTGAAAGGAATGCGATGATTTACGGAATTTTGTTAAACATATTCTATACTTAGTCAAATAAAACTTAATCGACAGATGGCATACGATATGCTTATCTATAAGAAACTTCTAGAGGAAATATCTACGATTTGTCTCAAATATTGCTGTTTGGTTAGAAAAAAATATATAAAAATAAAATTAACGCTGATTGGTTATATTAACTTAGCTTTAAACGCTGATTGGTTAAATATACATAACCAAAAAGCAGTGCATGTATAACATATTTTACAAAGTGTACCAAATTGAAATCTACAACAGTATATATTTTAATAAAAAAAAATTCTATAGAATTCAAGTTACAGTTTTTCGTACAAAGCATTTTAAACCAATATTTAATCATGTATGAGGAAGTTTTGCTATCGTCATAGTGATCTCATTGAAAAATATTCTGTATTTTTGTGCGATATGAAGCTCGTTAGTCTGCCTGTTGGTTCTGTTGTTGAATGCATTGTTCTCATTCAAGAATTTGTCGATCTAATGAGGGCGGCCGTGGTGGTTGACGGCCGTGATGGTTGACGGCGGGGGAGTGTCTATCTAATGAGGGCGGCCGTGATGGTTGACGGTCGTGAAGGTTGACGGCGGGGGAGTGTCTATCTAATGAGGGCGGCCGTGGTGGTTGACGGCCGTGATGGTTGACGGCGGGGAGTGTCTATCTAATGAGGGCGGCCGTGGTGGTTGACGGTCGTGAAGGTTGACGGCGGGGGAGTGTCTATCTAATGAGGGCGGCCGTGGTGGTTGACGGCCGTGATGGTTGACGGCGGGGGAGTGTCTATCTAATGAGGGCGGCCGTGGTGGTTGACGGTCATGAAGGTTGACGGCGGGGGAGTGTCTATCTAATGAGGGCGGCCGTGATGGTTGACGGCGGGGGAGTGTCTATCTAATGAGGGCGGCCGTGATGGTTGACGGCGGGGGAGTGTCTATCTAATGAGGGCGGCCGTGATGGTTGACGGCGGGGGAGTGTCTATCTAATGAGGGCTTCCGTGATGGTTGACGGTGGGGAAGTGTCTATCTAATGAGGGCGGCCGTGATGGTTGACGGTCGTGAAGGTTGACGGCGGGGGAGTGTCTATCTAATGAGGTCGGTCGTGATGGTTGACGGCGGGGGATTGTCTATCTAATGAGGGCGGCCGTGATGGTGCAGAGAGCGAAAGTGATCGTTACTGCTGGAGTATCGAGGATGCACTAATATCTGACAATTTTTAAGTATTTTCTCTTCAGTACAAATACAAAATACTTTGTAACTGCTTCCCAGATGCCAGCTTTCACTCAGCCGTACGGTAATATCCTCGTTTAGATATGTATACAAGTCATTAATTATGAAATGACGGCCTTGTTAATATACATTTGGAACAAAAGACAGTCAAAAATGTTTCGTTTGTAAGTGACCTTGTTGTCAAATAACGCCAAACATTCTGAGAAGAATGATTCGCCTGTCCAGATGAACATGATTAACTAGGTTAGTATCATGTTACCCACAATGCAGTGCAACTCAAATATATCAGATTGCTGTACAAGGCAGTGTTTACTTTCCGAAAACGGTTCCAATGTTAGGAATTATCCCCATTAACAACTGGTTATCTTGTTTGATAACCCATGGCCAAAAGAATTATAGAATAATACTAGACGAAAGTAAAGTGATACATGCTAGATGAATACATGAAAGTCATATAATGTTAAAATTTACAAAGAAAATTATATGCAAACTTTTTATATATAAACTCTAAATTATGTATAGTAATTATTTTACGATATATACATTTTCGAGTTATTTCAGAAAGCCATTTTAAAGGTTCAGAGAGTTTACTGAAAATTCAAATGCTCTCCTGGCATGAAAAGTAAACCTGTTGATCGCATCTCAGGTCATTGAGTCTGCCTCCAAATCGACCGACCTCTCTACAAAGCTCGCTTTTACCACTGGGTTGATTAGAAGACCAAAGGGGACTGGAACTTGTAAAGGGGTCACCGTTGATCCACCTGAAGTCTCGATCTAGAGTTCCGTTGCTGTAGTCATACAAGCCAACCCATCCAATGCGACCTGTAACAGGATATAACAAAGGATGGGTACATAAGAGCAACAATTGATTATTATCAATGACGTCACAACCTTGGAATTCCAGGAGTTACGATCACTTTCACTCTCAAAACCCTTGGAATATGTCACGGCAATATTGAAAGTTCCATTGATGACAGCAAACGAATCTAAAGATCCCATACTGGTATCTTGTAATGGCTTTGAAGTTGGGTGCCGCTTCTTTGTAATCTTCAAAAATAGCGTATCAGCCTGTGATTGGTCATTTTTTTTCTCCTGGAACTAATCAAATCACTTCGTTTGTGCATTCAATTTTGCACTCTTATGTTCAAGGGATGCAGAGAACTAAATTAATCGTAACTCCTGGAGTATCGAGGAGGATGACCTCAGCGCTTGCTTTTCATTCGTTCATTACTAAAAAAACAATAACGAAATCAACGTATCAAGCCTGCAAGAAATACACAGCTATATTACACATCTAAATTTTGAGTACCTAAAGAATTAAGATACATCATACAACTATGTTGTTCCTCTAGGATGCCATACAAGTTCAAATAAATCCTCTTGCATCAATGTAGACCCCAACACGTCCATCCATAGAATCATTTCTATAATGGATTAAGAACTATTACCTTGTAAGGCAGTCGAGTAGGCTTCCGCTTTCTCCAGATTGTCCGTAATGATGAGATATGCCTTTTCCCTCCTACATGATGTATAGGCTTCGAACCACGTGACTTTGGTGTTGTATAATCGGATGCACGTCTTGAATACCCGATGGAACGTGTATCCCTGTAGTCGACAGATTGGTTTCTCTACAACTAAACACATGCAAAAATGACTTGGATATGAGCTCTCCAAACGAAACTATCCGACAAGAATTTGTACACGTTCATATTTTTCGTTGTTAATGACACGACTCTATTTTAGAGAACTTGACAATGCCTATGTTTAATGGTATTTCATGTTCAAACTATTCCCACGTTTTATAGTTTTTGAGCAAGATTTGTGGTTTCGATAACATGAGGATTTTGCTGCGATTCGCATGCCACGGTCTTAATCACATTCAGAGTATGTAATACCACGTTAATTTTAGCTACACAACCTGCATTGTAAAATAGGTTATATCAAGTAATTAACAGACAAGTTCCAAACAGGAAATGTGTATATGTAAGAATACAGGAAAGCGTATCGGTATTCAGACATACAAACTGAATCTTTAAAAACTTACGAAAATAAAAGTAAGTTATCTTGTGAAAATGAAAGATGAAATTCAGACAAAACGCTTACGTGTCCACACGTTGCTGTTCCCCACAGACAGACTAGTCTCGTAGTAGCCTCGGCACTCCCGGGTATCCCTTTTAAATCCTATCCATGAACAAGACAATGCCCGTCGCTTGCACTCTAGTGCACAGGCAATTTCACTTGCAGTGTGGATAAGGAAGCTTAGGATTTTTTCGTCAACGGAAACGGGTGTTAATTTTAGGTTGAGCCTATCCGGTTTCCACACATCGGTACCGTCATCAGCCAGGCCTTTGAAAGGCAAATTTAATTTTGGTTAAAAATGTCCCATCAAATTATTTTTTATTATTATTGTTGAGTATGTCAGATATAAAGATAACACTGATTTGAAATACTACATTTAAGGTAAATCGTCAGTAATATCCGTCACTGCTCGTCCCGACCAACCCCATCCCTCTCTCCTCTAGAATTTTCATCAGAAGTCATTTTTGTGAATGGTGTATTATGATAACGGTGAATTACAACGTGGAAAAAAAATCGCATTTCAGGTTTCATGTTTTCCTTGCAGGTTAAAATATCAAAATAA